TATGCCCTCTTGGGCTGCTTGGCTGAAAACTACAAGAGGTTCACTGAAGTACCAGCTCATGGAGAACTGGGGGGCCTGCTTTTGGAAAGGAGCTGGAATTAATTTAAGGGGAGTCAACTGAGGATCTAGCCTGGAGGCTCACAGTACAGTGTCTGGCTGGTATTGGAAGGAGACAACCAAGTACACAAGGACACAGTGAATAAAGGTCTGAGATAAAGAGATCCTGGTGACTGTTGCTACTTTAATATCTTTTCTATTCTTAAAGTATGACTAAAGGCAAATTTTTTTTTTTAGTTTTGAACAGAGTGGAGAGGGATAAGAACACCTGTCAGTTTTTTATAGCTGTCTGTGTCTCCATTTTGGAAATTCACCTTCTTTATTTGTCCTGTTTACAATTGTTATTGAGAGTGAAAGTGAAAGAAAGTTCTAATTTTTGAGTTGACAACAGAACAGTAATACAGGGGGAATCTTTCATTGGTGGCACTCACTTTAGAGGGATTTCCTCTCACTTCCTGTTTTAGCTATTGGACAGGAAGTAAAGAGAAAACTCCCCAATGGAACACAGATGGCAAGCAACTGGCAGGGTTTATAACTCTCCCTTACTCCATCTAAAATGAAAAAAGTTTTGCCTTTTATTCTACTTTGAGAGGAGAGCTACCATAAAGAGTTCAGTAAAAGGCAGATCCTGACTTTTACTACTTTGTCCACTAAAAATGGTAGAGACTGTTCCAAACTGTTGCTTGTTTAGGGCTGCTTCCAGAGAGGGAGTCCCCTGAGCAGTATGTCCACTATCTCTAGCACAAGAGATCTACCCTGAAGGGTTTAACTAGGATCAGAAAGTGTCCTCTGTTTCAGAATCCCAAAGTTTACCCTATACCCTATCTACGTTCAAGCAATAGATCTAAAAAAAGACACTGCCTGGTTTTTGTGAGGAGAGACTGAGAAGCTAACGTGTGCCTGGCTGCTTGTACCCACCAGGGAATAGAACTTGGGACAGATAGCAGGGCCGCCAGGGGTCTTTGTGCTACATACATTTCTTGTAAGAGTAAAACGGCTAAAGAGGGGTTTTTATGATGTTATTAGGGTTTTAAAAGTTGGGTATCAAAATCCTGCCTATAATAATGCATTGTATACTGTATATTGTAACGTACAACACACAGGCTACAGCCCCAATAATTTGTAATTAGCATGCATACATTAAGAGATAGAAATACATTCTTTAGGGTGTAGATAAACCTCATCATTCTTAAATACACTAAAACTTTGATAATAATAATAATAATAAAAAAAAAATTATTATATATATATATTTAAAATTATTCTGCTAAGCACTATATCATTGCTTCAAAACCATATTTTCAAATTAAGTTAGGAAAAAGATGCTTAACTGCATATCCAGCAGAGTATGAATAATAAGTTGCAGCCTTACTGAGCTCAATTTCATAGGATCAAGAATGACAAGATTAGAGCAGCACAAAACTGACATTCTTCTGAACTAAGCAAAAAGAGGATGTTCTTAGTTGAATTCAGTTTCAATGCTATATGACACTTGTTTTGCAACAATGTGGAAATGAATGTGAAAAGGTTTAAATAAGCTTGAGATGTAGGTAGGTCCTCCTTCAAATACCTCTCAAGATGTGGTTAGGAACATTCTAGGTCTCCACTTTGGCTTTAAAAAAAAATTGAAAAAAAAATATCTATCTATCTATCTATCTATCTATCTATCTATCTATCTATCTATCTATTATATCTCAGTAGCTTTACTGACACATGCAAATTCAGGTAGTTCTTAATAATGCCACTTTTACAAAGTGGTGTTATTACTGCACCAAATACAAAAATAATTATCTCCTGTCAATAATGAAGCTGGAAGTAATTAGGACCAAATGTAAGTTGGCGTACAGAGACAGACAGAGTACCTGTCTCTGTATGCTGTGTAGCAGAGCATCATGTTTGCCACCACTACTCCCTCTCAGCGGATTGACTGCTATTGGCTATGGAATTGCACACTGCCTGCTGTCAATCACATGGGGAGCAGATCTAATGGGAATTAATTTCTGAATTTTCCTCAGGCTCCACCCATCCAGCTTTGAAAATCCACAGTTGGTATGCTATTTGTGGTATAGCTGCAATGGTGGGAGGAAGCTCAGCAGCACTGAGGTTGGAGTGTTCATATGGATACTCTGTCATTAGTGCATCATATGTGGTGCGTGCCCCAAATTCAGGTACTTCTTTACATCAGGTGTGTGGTCCTGTCATTCACACCAACATTTGTCATGAGAAGGCATGTCAAAATTCTTAAAGGTCAGTCACGCTTTATGAATTCACCTGAATATTATTTAAAATAATAGTTGGCAGCATTTCCCTTTTTTTAAAGCTGAACTCCAGGCAAACCACCAAATGCACAAAAAAATACATACAGTTGTGTTCAAAATAATAGCAGTCAGACATCACTAACCTGATCAATCACTGTTTTTGGTAGAAATTATATTTCTACATGGCAAATAATTTACTAGCAGGTGTAGTAGAGTAATAGAAATCCAACAGACCCAACAGTCATGACATGCATGCTGCTGATTCTGTGTAATTGAATTACTAATTGAAAGGGGCATGTTCAAAATAATAGCAGTGTGGAGTTCTATTAGTGAGGTCATTCATTCTTTGAAAAACAAGTGGCAATTATTGCCCTTATTTAAAGAAGGAAGGCAGCAAATGTTTTACATGCTGGTTACAGTGCATTTCTCTCTGAAATTCTGAGGAAAATGGGTCGTTCCAGACATTGTTCAGAAAAAAAACAGCGTACCTTGATTAAAAAGTTGATTGGAGAGGGGAAAACCTATAAAGAAGTGCAGAAAATGATAGGCTGCTCAACTAAAATGATCGCAAATGCTTTCAAATGGCAACCAAAACCTAAAAGGCGTGGAAGAAAGCGAAAAACTACCATTCGAATGGATAGAAGAATAGCCAAAATGGCAAGGACTCAGCCAACAATCAGCTCCAGGAAGATCAAAGAAGGTGTAAAGTTACCTGTGAGTACTGTTACAATTAGAAGACACCTACGTGAAGCCAAGCTATCTGCAAGAATCCCCCACAAAGTCCCACTGTTGAAAAAAAGACATGTGCTGAAGAGGTTACAATTTGCCAAAGAGCACATTGACTGGCCTAAAGAGAAATGGCGCAACATTTTGTGGACTGATGAAAGTAAGATATTGTTCTTTTTGGGTCTAGTGGCCGGAGACAGTTTGTCAGACGACCCCCAAACACTGAATTCAAGCCACAGTACACTGTGAAGACAGTGAAGCATGGTTGCGCAAACATCATGATATGGGGATGTTTCTCATACTACGGTGTTGGGCCTATTTATTGCATACCAGGGATCATGGATCAGTATGAATACATCAGAATACTTGAAGAGGTCATGCTGCCTTATGCTGAAAATGCCCTTGAAATGGGTGTTCCAACAAGACAATGACCCCAAACACACCAGTAAACATGCAACATCTTGGTTCCAGACGAACAAGATTGACGTTATGGAGTGGCCTGCCCAATCCCCGGATCTTAATCCAATAGAAAACTTGTGGGGTGACATCAAAAATGCAGTTTCTGAGACAAAACCAAGAAATAGAGAAGAACTGTGGAATGTAGTCCAATCATCCTGGGCTGGAATACCTGTTCACAGGTGCCAGAAGTTGGTTGACTCCATGCAACACAGATGTACAGCAGTTCTCAGAAACAGTGTTTATACAACTAAATATTAATTAAGTGATTCAAAGGAAAGCAAAATCTTCAAACATTTTTCAGTTTATATAGTGAATGTTTGAGTTTGTAAAGAAGAATACAAACACTGCTATTTTTTTTGAACAGTCTAATATTCACTTTTCTTCAATTTTTTTAGAGGAACAACACAAATTTGATATATTTTTCTTCACGTTTTGATGTAGTGTTCCCAATGCATTTGTGTGTATGGAAATAAAAGCTATTAGAAGGATTTTGAGCTTTATTCACTTTTTTCAACACACTGCTATTATTTTGAACACAACTGTATATGGAATCAGATTTTTGCTATCCAGTCCTAAGATTTACATAGTCATTTTACACAGCACAGCCTTGATATGCAAGGCAGAAGACCTGATTTTTCTCTCCTCATGCCTGAGACTGGAGCTCCTCTGTTAGTATTATACAGTTGTTTTTTTGTATCATATGATGTTCAGGTTTGCTCTTTTGGATAATGGGATACAAAATATAGTAGACTGTATGCACCTGTTTATCATGCCAAGAGTGTGTAAGATACACAATGTTCCAGGAGCAGCAGTGGAATGTGCTATGCCCCTAGTATGTAAAATTTGTTTGTGTGACTGACTGTTCTGTTTTCTCCACAACTTTTCTATTCTCAACATCACTCCACGTGATATCAATTTACATAATCTGAGTTAGCAAATGTATTTTATAGGTAGGCTAACATCAACAGTGCTATTTTGTCTGCAGTTTTTATGCATGCATCTTGTAATTCTCAGAAACTACATCAAAGTTACAGTATTCCTCATTACAGTTAGGACCTGTCCATACTAATGCACTGCGGAAAGGAGGCGCATTACTGTAACAAACAGGAATGCATGAAACAGTGAAGCTTGAATGGCACCCACATGTTTATAGACAACACACTGTAACACACTTGTATTGTAGCACACCACAAGGTTTAGATATGACCCAACTGTGCATTGTGGTGGACTTCAGTGTATGTTTTTATTAGTGATGTGACACATTAGCAGCCCAATCAAGATGAATGGGATGTGTACCATAATTCAAATTAACCGCTTCCCCTCCTCCCTATAGCAGAAATACTGCTACAGGGCGGCAGGGGCGTGCAAAATCAAGTACTGTATTTTTCGCTCTATAAGAAGCACTTTTTCCCCCCAAAAAAGGGGGGAAAATGTCAGTGCATCTTATGGAGCAAATATGGAGCGGCCGGTCCAGTATTTCCACCGCCAACACCATGTCAGAATACCGGGCTGGCCGCTCAGCTCTTCTCTGCAGCAGGATCTTACCTGATCCTCGGTCCAGCACTGTAAAGTCTTCCCGCGCCAGCATCTTTAGTGCGGGAATCCAGCTGTGATAGCCGGGTGCCCACTGCGCATGCGCGAGAGGCGGTCATCTCCTGTACTATGTCCGCAGTCTCTGGTCATCTCCTGTACTATGTCTGCAGTCTCTGGTCATCTCCTGTACTATGTATGCAGTCTCTGGTCATCTCCTGTACTATATCCGCAGTCTCTGGTCATCTCTTGTACTATGTCTGCAGTCTCTGGTCATCTCCTGTACTATGTTTGCAGTCTCTGGTCATCTCCTGTACTATATCTGCAGTCTCTGGTCATGTCCTGTAGTATGTCCGCAGTCTCTGGTCATCTCTTGTACTATGTCTGCAGTCTCTGGTCATCTCCTGTACTATGTCTGCAGTCTCTGGTCATCTCCTGCAAAGGCGTAGCTGGGGGGGGGGCAGGGGGGTACTTATGTACCCGGGCACCAAGGTACAGGGGCACCAAAATGAGGTCACAAGATCACTGCAGCAGCTGCAGCAGATGTGTCATCTGATACGTCTGCCATCTGCAGTGAGTTATGAGAGGAGAGAGGAGCCGGTCGGGAGAGGAGCAGAGAGGAGGGCAGTGAACCGGGCATGTGCCGGAAGGGACGAGGGGAGAGCCGAGCTGGGTGAGTAGTGCCATGGATGAAGGGGGGGGGGGCAATGTGATCGGTATGGGGGGGTGTCTACAGGGACCATATGAAGTGGGGGGGGGGGGGTATCATGAGGTGGCTGTTCGTCCCCAGGCGCAAAATATCCTAGCTACGCCTCTGATCTCCTGTACTAAGTCTGTAGTCTCTGGTCATCTCCTGTACTGTGTCCGCAGTCTCTGGTCATCTCCTGTACTGTGTCTGCAGTCTCTGGTCATCTCCTGTACTGTGTCCGCAGTCTCTGGTCATCTCCTGTACAATGTCTGCAATCCATTGGTTCAGAATATTTTTTTTCTTGTTTTTCTCCTCTAAAACCTAGGTGCGTCTTATGGTCAGGTGCGTCTTATGGAGCAAAAAATACAGTGTGTATACATATATATATATATATATATATATATATATACGTGATTTTGCAGTTCCAGGTAGGGGGCGTGCATGCCCTACCCATGCCTCCATTCGCGGCCTCGGCTGTCAATCACCAGGTCCTGTCCGGTGATTTCTTGCCGACACCCGGTGATCACCGAGTATCTCCAACAGGGGAGAGACCTGTATGTAAACAATACAGATCTCTCCCCTGTCAGCTCCTGCACACTGCTTTGTATGGTTCTGCATAGCAGAGCCATACAAAGCAGTGTGTTTACAGTGCAACACAGGCACATAGTAAAACAGCACACAGCAAACAATACAGTTCTCCTCCCTGTCAGCTTGTGCACAGCCATACAAAACAGTGTGATTACAGTGAAGCACACACACAGAGCTTACAGTGAAACAGCACACAGTTAACCCTTTGACTAAATACCACCTAAAGAAAGCTCTATTTGTGGGAAAAAAGGACATAAAATTAATTTGGGTGCAGATTTGCATGACTGGGCAATTGTCAGTTAAAGCAACACAGTGCCGTATCGCAAGAAATGGCCTGGTCAGGAAGGGGGATAAATTATTATTATTATTATGCAGGATTTATATGCTGCCAATAGTTTGCACAGCACTTTACAATATAAGGGAGACAGTACAATTACAATACATTTCAGTACAGAAGGAATAGTAGAGCCCTGCTCGTGGAGCTTACAATCTAAAAGAAGGGGGAGGTGATACAAAAGGTGATAGCTGCGGGGGATGATCTGGTGGAGGTGACTCAAGTACAGTTCTTAGGTGGAGGTGGGGTAGGCTTCCCTGAATAGGTGAGTTTTCAAAGAACGCCTAAGGGCAGACAGGGTGGGGGCTGACTGGACATACTGTGGTAGGGAGTTCCAGAAGATGGGAGAGGCTCTGGTGAAGTCCTGGAGGTGAGCATGGGAGGAGGTGATGAGGGAGCTAGAAAGGAAGATGTCTTGGGAGGAGCAGAGCAAGCAATTTGGGCAATATCTGCAATCTGCAGATGAGGTTGGTGATGTAGGTAGGGGCAGTGTTGTGGATAGCTTTGTAAGCTGTAGTTGGTATTTTGAATTTTATACATTGGGTTAGTGGAAGGCAGTGGAGGGATTGGCAGAGAGGGGCAGCAGTCCCTAATCAGTTGGTAAGGTGTATGAGTCTAGACTTTATAATAGACTGAAAGGGGGATAACTTGTGTAACGGTAGACCAGTGAGGAGGGAGTTGCAGTAATCAAGGTGGGATAAAACCAAAGCGTGGATAAGTTGTTTTGTGGTGTCATTGGTTAGAAAGGGGCAGATTTTGGAAATGTTCCAGAGGTTGAGGTGGCAGGGTTTAGCCAGTGATTGGATGTGGGGCCCAACGGAGAGATCAGAGTCTAGGCTTATGTCTAGCACCCTGGCATGCGGGGAAGGACCAATGGCTGTGCTGTTGATCTTAATGGTAAAGTCATGAGTGGAGGATTGGGGGGGGAGGAAATATTACAAGCTCAGTTTTTTGGGGTTTTTTTTCTCCAATAAAGATTTACTGATCAATGAAAAATATAGACAAAGACATGGATTGTATCACAACAGCAATTTGCTAGGAGCATCTAGCCTTATAACGAGAGTAAGTCAGACAAAAAAACTTAGCATGTAAGTTAAACACATAAGAATTGAGAACTAAGAGGAGGATGTGAGTCTAGAAGGATGAGAAATGAAGAGGTGTTGAGTATATATGGTTATGAGAACATATTGTCAATATCGCACGTAGATTCATGATAGACCGAAACATGGTCTCATTGACATAGGAAATATTTGGAATGGTGGGTGTGGAGAAAGTACATTGAGGTAGGTTAGTTGTTAATGTGATTCTAAGTCAGATATGAAAATGCTAATTTTAGTATGTCGGAAGCACCATCCCAGCGAGAGAAAGGGAAAAGAGATATAAAAAAGAAAAAAAGAGGGGGGAGGGAGAGGGGAGAGGGAGGGGTAGGGAAGGCAGGGGGGGGAGATGGGTATCACGGTAAGTAACTTAAGATATCAAGGAAGAATGATAGAGGGGCTAGCATTTGTCTCTAACCCTCTCCACTGGGCACCGAAGGGTCGCGCCCCCCCCCCCCCCACACACCATAGAAGGCTGTGAGGTGAAGGGGAAGGAGCACAACCAGGTAGGTTCCCAATGCCCAATCCTATCCTCTGAGATGAGTAGCCTGGAAAAAATGGGTATGTACGGGGGATTTCATAGGTGGATGGTAATATCTTTATTGGGGAGAAGGTTTGTCAATCAATAGAGCAAACTTTTCAGTTGTCTGAAAATGTGTCTAACAAGCCCCTTTAGAAGCAAATTTGGCAGGGGAGTCTCGGGCGACATAAATGAGTCCTTCCATTTCCGCTATGTTACGTATGCGGGTGAGCCATTCTCTGATAGACGGAGGTTGTGGGGACCCCCAGTGGATTGGGAGACATTGTTTAACTGTGTTAACCATGTGCATGGCTAGAGACTTAAAATAGGTTGACTGGGGGAGAGAGGAATGGTGAAGTAAGAACTGAGCGGGCGTATAATTTAAAGTGTAGGTAGTTACGCGTTGAATAATTCGGTGTACTTCAGACCAGCAGTGTTTAATTCTGGGGCATGTCCACCAGATATGTAGAAGGGTTCCCTCCTTCTTCTCACATCTCCAGCAAGTGTCAGGGATATCTGGGTAAATTTATGGAGAAGAGCAGGGGTGCAATACCAGCGAGATTTAATTTTGTAACCATTTTCTTGGGTGGATACATTCACCGAACCTTTGAGTGTGTTCTGATGTATGCATTCCCAGTCATCTTGAGTGAAAGAAATCGAGAGATCGCTTTCCCATGCCGCGCAAGCTGTGCCACCGTTAGAAGGGTGGTCAGAGCTCAGTTGGGACTGGATAGTAAAGATTAGATGACTTTGAGGCGATTGTTTAGAGCACAATTTCTCAAATGGGGTCAGAAGTCTAGATACCTGTTGATTTTTATCAAGTGAGCGTAGGTAATGATTTAAAAGCAGGTATGGCCATGGTGGTATAGGATTTGTTACTAGGTTGGAGGATAGCTGTTCCCTAGAGATAATTGTGTTTCTGTTAAAGAATTGGTGGGCTAACACATTTTTTGAAAGGCCAATGGTCCTGAAGGAATCGCGGGTGAAGGCCATGTGGAAAATCGGGGTTTTGAAGCAGAGGGGTAAGAGGCCCTGGGACTGATGAATCGACTCAGAACTTTTGCATAGTACTAAAGATGCAAAGGGTTGGATAAATTAAAGGGTGAGCCTTTGCTTCTGGAGGAGTATGATGAGCTTGTAATTAGGGCGTAGGCGTGAGCAAAAAAGATGCCTCGAGAGAGAACCAGTCTTTGACAGTGTCATGAGCATTCCAATCTACTATCCTAGAAAGATGGCATGCATGGAGATAATTCTGGATGTTGGGTAGGCCTATGCCTCCTTTGTGTCTGGGAAGTGCTAGTCTTGCATAACTAATTCGTGGTCTGTGATTGTTCCACAGGAAATTGGAGCAGAGGCTCCTGTAAGAGAGTAAGAAATTGTGAGGTAGGTGGATGGGTATAGTTTGCAGGAGATAGAGAAGTCGTGGGAGAGCATTCATTTTGAGGATAGCGGCTCTGCCGAACCAGGAGACAATAGGTTTGTTCCATCGTTTTGAAGTTGTTCATTAACTCTCGCAGGGTGGGTAGAAAATTCTTACAGTATAGGTCTCGTAAGTTCGTAGGGAGCTGAAATCCTAAATAAGTGATGGCATCTTGTTTCCATAAAAAGGGAAAGTTCTGCTGACAGCGGATTACGTCTGTAGAAGGGAGGGTCACATTTAGGGCATAAGACTTCGAAAAGTTGATTTTGAGGTTGGACAAGGACTGAAAGTGACAAAATTCTGCTAGGAGGACTGGAAGAATAGTGTGAGGAGCTGATAAAAAACGCAGAATGTCATCGGCAAATGCTGCTAATTTATATTCTTTACCTGCAGAGCTAATACCTTTGATATCAGGGTTGTGTCTGATTCAGGACAATCGAGACTGGGTTATGGTCTGAAAGCACCATTGGTTCTATGCGAACCGATTACAGGAGATGGAGGTCTTGCTGTGTGATGAAAAAATAACCCAGGCGGGAGTATCTGTTTTGGGGTGTCGAAAAGAAAGTAAAGGAAATGCCACACATTATGTAAGAGAAGGTCTTGAAGGCTAAGCTTAATTTGGTGTAGAACCTTATATGGCAGGTAGGATGTGCCCGTGGAGGTGTCCAGAAGGGGTTCTGGAGGCACATTGAAGTCTCCTCCGAGAATCAAGATCCCGCTCTGGAAAGAAGTGAGAGAATGGGAGATTGGACGAAAGATGGAAACTTGAGCAGTATAGCTCAGTTTTGGAAAGATTTAGATTTGTAAATCCTCTGGAGGGCAAGTGGAGAGAGTACCGTGGTGTACTTTTCTAAACAGGCCCTAAATAAGTCTGTTTACATGTTTGGACGTTTGATGCATTGAATCTCTCTGTGTTCTTTTTGAGCAGTTTGAATGCAGCAGCACAAAAATAATTTGCTAAAACCATATGAGACCAGACATAAACACAACTCCAAACAGCTACAGTATACAAGACACAAATAATGCAGATCTGTAGTCAATAATAAAGCATTAAATGTAACTACCTGAAATAAACTTGGTATCAGCTTCTTAAAATCCTTTGTACTGCAGCACCACAAGTAGAGCTACTGCCATATCAGCCCTTTCAGCTTCCATGGGGTCTGGATCAAGGGGGCCCCAGGGATGATGATTGGTGAGTGCCTTTGTGGTAAAATCTTTCCCTATTCAGACATCCATCAGG